ATAGAAGCATAACTATAAAAACAAACAAAAACCCTCAACAAACTACTACCTGCAACATAGGTGAATTTCACAAACATTTTGTGTGAAAGCAGATTAAAAAGATTCATGAGTCCATTTGTATAAAACTCAAGATAGAAGAACTTAATAATGTTGCAGAATAGTGTTTACCATGTAAAATGGTGATCTACTTGCAACATCTGTCATCCATATTGTCTGGTTATAACATCTGCCACCCCAGGGAAGCACCTGTTGATTGGCCAGTCTGTTCCCTTCCTCCTTTACTGCATCACTTCCCAAGCTGAGCCCTTGATCTTGTCTGGTAGAGGAGGACTGTGCTTTGGTCAGGATGTTTAAGTAACTGCCCTCCCCTGCTACAGCTTCTAAGTAAGTTCCTTTAGGATAGAGGTGAGTAAAAGATTAGGAAGAGTTACACAGGGGAGTTGCTCTTCACTTACCTTGTACACAGGATTCGTGCACATTACATTTCGAAATAATGTTTTTCCAAGTGAGTGTGTGTAAAGTGCACAGCACAATGCCCAACTCATGCAGATGTGCAGTTGACAGCAGTAGCTGGTTTCCTTCTCAGTGGCCAGACAGTGTTGTCCTCTACCTTGTGTCCACAGTGCTTCTAACTTCCACAGGGATTAAACTGGTCTGTATTTGTGCCCTCCATTTGCATACCTGCTAGCTTTCCTGGCCTACTGAGCCTATAAATTACCACTGTGCTGGAGACTGGACCCAGGACCTTATTGGTGCTAAGCATTGCCTTGCCAAAGAGCTATACTTTTGGCTCCAGTTATTTCTAAATTTTGCTTAATTTTAATTATAATTAAATTTAAATGGTCACATAGAACTAAACAGCTACAGTATTGAACAATGTAGAGAGCTACGGTCTTTTCCTGGGAAATTGAGATTTTTATTTTTTATTATTTTTTTTATTTTTTTAGCAGATCAAATGGAAAGGTTGGGGTGTCAGATGCATGTCCTTATGTATACTGAAGGACACTCCCATAGTGGCAAGTCCTGGCTGGAGCAGGAGACTGCTAGCTAGGTTCCAAAGCCTTTAAGGAAGTGTAGTGGACCACAAAGGAAGGCTTTTTTCCATTTTAGAGTAGCAAAGGTTCTTGGGGTAAGACCTCTCTGAAGTGCAGCTGAGGCACAAAGGCTATTAAAGAGGAGCAGGTGACAGCTGTGTGTGCTGCTGGAGTTCTGTCTGAAGAATACTGAAGAGTGGCCATGGGTTGCAGCAAGAGGGAGGAGACATGGCTGCAGGGATGGAAAGGGGTTAAGAGCTGGGTAGTTCTTACAGAGCTGCTCTCAAGGAGATGAGTGGCGGGTGGGCTTTGTTTAGAAAATGATGGAGACCTGGGCTGGAAAAATGATTTGAAAAAGTAAGACTGCTTGCTGGTTTTTATTTTGTTTTGGTTTTTTGGTGTGTGGAAAAAGCATTGAGACTGAGTACATGCAGGGTCTTTCTGTAGGGGAGGGGTGAGTACATGCAGGGTCTCTCTGTAGGGGAGGGGTGAGTAC